TACGCAAAAAATGGATGGGTCATATGAACCACCAGGTGACGTATATAGGGCGCTATAAGAGCATAAAATAATAAGATTCAGCACTATGCCGTCACTTGTAAGCGGTCCAACTGAGTGCTGGTGAGAATCCCAAAGTGCATAGAGTGAGTACATTTAGGTCATATATTTTTGTACGGCATTTTTACCATCGATAGATCCATGAAAAATAATAAATAATGATTTCTTATGTTTACGCGAACACTACACATTGAAATAATACTAATACTGTGTAGATCGGAACAAAAGTTAAATTTTTATCTATGGTAACCTCTGTTAACTATGACATTTGGACGTTGAACATCTCAGTCCTCCCCAGCGGGGGTACACTTCCATACTTTAGGTTGGGGTCCAATAATTTGCAAAGACACTAGTGCCATCTTATACATTGTCCGCATAAACTTTCGAACATTAGTTTCTAAAAGGTGCGCTAGATGGAGACTCCGATTCTGGTTATTCTCGAACTGGCAAATAGCAACTTTATACGACATAATGGCTACCGGCTCGGCATCTGAGCAAGTTGTTGTTTTATTATAGTTTATAAGTGATTTTCGGTTATTGCCACAATAAGCTTTGTTGAGTTGGGATTAGCCCTCTGTTTCTTGTTGTCTGTTAAGATTTTCATGCTGGAACCACATTGTATGTTTGTGTAGCATTGTGCGAAATAGACGCTTTCATTTATCATTCCGTAACCCGGGGGACATATTTAATTTGGTTTGGTGTTGTATTTTGAGGAATAAACGCTTTTACATCGTGTATGTTTAATACATATATATATATATATATATATATATATATATATATATATATATATATATATATATATATAACAAAAATAAATGTTAATATTACTAAATATAACCGCCTTTAATATAGATAGCCGTATATACATAACTACATAGTATACTACTATCTATAGTCAACATGATATTGAGATTCGTTCAAGGGATATGATACCAGACGGCGACACTATTCATATTGGGTAACAAAAAATCGTAGGAGATGGCTCTCTATTTCTGTATATATTACTCTACTCTATGGTCCTCCCCGTGACCATGGGTGCTGTAAAGTGCTCGAAACGTCGGGTATTTATGTAGTATGTAATTTGTATCTAAATATAATTTCCAAAACACACGAATTAAAAAAAAACCGAGCAAAAAATACCGAGCAAAGCTCGGTCAACCGGGTACTAGTTATATATACGCGATAAAATCCGTAAAAACTAGTATTATTTCAAAATAATAAAGCGTGCTAACTAGTCGTGGGTCATAACGTATTTTATTCACATTCGATATATTTTATTCATATATCATATTCGATAGGATTTATACACCAAAATGCTGTAATGAAGCTTTCAAAAAGGCAACTATTAAATTGGAAGCAACTTCGTTTCCCCCTTGTTTCCGGGAGTTAAAACAACATATGAAGAGAAGTACCTACATAGCACAGATTTGGTGTAATGCCTACAAACAAATACCGTCGACCTTGTTATCAATAAGCTGTGGATGGATTTTCAATGACGTTCGGTACGACTTCGACTGGTTCCACGGCGAGGAATCAGTGACATAACGGAACCGGATGAGGAATCAGGCGAAGAAATTGATGAAGTCATAGGTAAAAATATAATAAATCTTTACATCTTTAATCTGTACGTAAAAGACTTTGATTTTGACAAAAACTTATTCATGTTTCAGAAAATGGTAGAGAAGATAATTCGGACGTCGATGAAGACGTTGATTCCGATAACAACTCAGCGGCTGATTCCGATACTGAATAATTTAAATAAAAACCTTATTTTGTATTATCATCTTTAAATATATCGAATTTTTTAAAAAAAAATGTTGTTTTATTTATTCACATCATTACAATGAAACAAATCAATTATATACATGTATCAATAATGTTTGAAGTATATATTAAACCAAAAAGTATACAAAACTGTTTATACTGGGATATACAGTTTCAATTCTTGGATATTATATACACACCCTTTCACTTCAGTTAGACGTCATAAAGATTTTATCATATTATCAATTCTTCTCTTCAAAAATATGTTAATACCGTGCAGTATCAGATGGCCATAAAGTACTACACCCTTAAAATGGTAGCGTCATTTTCATCAGCCTATAAGATATGGTCTGCATTAAAATGTACGGCATCGTTTTTTCCTAATTTATTTATCTTAATACGATTTAAAACAAGGGAAAAATGTAGAAAATTGCTATATTTTATTAAGCTATGAATATTTAAACTTTTGCAATAATTTAAAAAATTTCAGTATTTGTGTTTCTCTATAATTTTTTAGAACAGTTTCTTTTGAACGGCAATACTATATAACAATTGTATTTTACAATATCATGTTAAAAAAGTTGCCGTACGGAGTCAAATGATTTTATAGCTTTATGAATCAAGTATACCACGAAATTAAGATAATTGTTAATATACATTCAAATGAACAATAATTTTTGACGGCATTATTTTAATAGTACTTTTGAGTCTAGATAATGTTTTGGAACCCCCCCGACCACGGAAAGAGAGGGGGTTGCAACCCTAGATTTTTTCCCCTTGTCACATGATTTTTGTACGGCGTTGCGGAATAATGGATTAGAAGCTGTATTGAAACTGATGCCGTACATAATGAAATTACCAAATTTACCCTGGTAATTGTCAGAAAAAAAATCCCAACTTTGTGGCGCACCATTTTTTTACGGCACTGCGCACTTTCTTATTATTTTTCATAGATCTATCGATAGTAAAAATACCGTACACAAATATATGACCCAAATGTGCTCACTCTACCTGCATTTTTGAATTCTCACCAGCACTCAGTTGGACAGCTTACAAGTGACAGCATAGTGCTGAATCTTATTATTTTATGCTCTTATATCGTCCTACATACGTCACCTGATGGTTCATATGACACATCCATTTTTTGGACATGGGCCTGTAGTCTATTAGTATAAACTCCATAGATTAGGCTTAGGAGTAAAAGAGAGCTACCGCGCCATACAGTACTTTCGTGTGTTAGAAGAGAAAGCAAGTGACGCTGTCAGCGAGACTAAATACATATTACTACACGCATATAACGTGAATTATAGTGATAATTGGTAACTTTATCTAACTACTACTACTAACTTTATTGTATTTAATGAAATGGTTTGAGTTTATACTAAATCTATGCGTCAAGTTACGATGAACGGACCATGGAGGTTAGAGAACAGGAGAACGAACACTACTTGCTATAAGCATAGCTCGCCTGTCCCTGAAAATTTTTAGAATTTATAGACGCGTTGCCGTCGGTAAGTACCTAGTATCTGCGAAGTAATTGTTTAATTATTGACAAAAACGAACATCATAAAATAGTGAAATATTATCAAAAAAAAATAATAATAAATTATAATAATTTATATTTGTAATAGTTTATAATATTTATAATAATTAAAATTATAAATAACATAATTTATGATTTATTTATAAATAAATAATAATAATAATTTTGTTATTTTCTTTTTTTTCTTTGAATGATATTATAATCATCAAAAAGCATTTTTTGTCCATATTGCTGGGATACTATTTTATATAGCGATCGTTCTCCTGTACTCTAACCTCCATGGAACGGACAATAGATCCCTTTGAACATGGCGGTTAGAGAACAGGAGAACGATCTCTTCGTGCTAAATCATAACCCGCCTGTCCCTGAAAATTTATAAAATTTATAGTCACGCTGCCGTCGGTAAGTAGAGTTTGCTTAGTAATTTTTTAATTTTTGTCAAAATGAAACATTAAAAATGGTGAAATATTATAAAAATGATAGTAATAATAACAAATCAATATTAATTAATAATTTATATTTGTAATAATTTATAATATATATATTAATTAAAATTATTGAGACCATATAGCAACGCAGCGTCTCACTTATTTCGTCCATATTTTCGGGACGCTATTTTCTGCAGCGATCGTTCTCCTGTTCTCTAACCTCCATGCCTTTGAACATGGAGGTTGAGAACAGGAGAGCGATCGCCGTAGAAAATAGTATCCCAGAAATATGGACACCATAAGTGAGGCGCTGCGATCGCTAAGTTCGCGTTCGTTTTTAAAGTTATTTTCAGTCTATTTTTTCGATCAGGTGCTAAACCAATTGCACATCCACGCACAATAAAACATTTCTCCATTTTTAATGTTTCTTTTTGTCAAAAATTAAAAAATTACGGAGTATGAAAATTTTCGCACCAATGCCGCGAAGAAAACTTGTACATTATTCCACTAACTTCATATACTTGTACTGATAAACAGCTAACTTCGCAGCAACTGCTCGCCGCTATAAATTCTACAAATTTTCAAGGACGCTTTAGTACGTAGTGATCGTTCTCCTGTTCTCTAACCGTGCTATGAAGTGTAGAGGTAAGGAGTACAGACTGTGTATTAAAAACTGTCCGTAGAAAACTGTTAAATAAGGATGGAGCCACTATAGCTACAGGGTAAATTTTAAAGAATGAACCGAAAAATATTAGTGGATAGACGACATTTTCGAGGTTATATATACTAAATAAAATTATTTTAGATTTTAGAGCTACTGAGCAGTTTAGCAGCACACTTCACACCGTCAATAACTGCTAAGTTTATTTCACGTAGCTGTTTCCTGTAGCTACTCCAGCGCTGTAGTGGAGAGTTTTTGAACTGTAATTTACTGCTTACAGATGGACACTTTTTCAACTATTCTCCTATGAGAAATTGTTCTCCATACTCCATGCCTTTGAATGTGACTGACAGTTTAGCTGCCTGACTGACAGTGACAGCATGACAGCTGCGCTGACGGTCTGTATTCTGTAATACTGACATTGCAATTGACGTAACGTAAATATTAAATAGTATAATTTTAATTATCTAGAGTATTTTTGTTGTTTGTAACGATTATCTCTAGGTAATAGACTTATTTTGGGAAGAAAATAAAATAAAGGGACATGAAGTCAGACCTAGATTCAACAAACGATCCAAACCCGGCAGTAACTGGTGATGTCATAGGAAATACCGCGTACAGTGAACGTTTTGTACTAAAAATACTATTGAAACTAGCTAATTTAGATTCTCTTAAAGATGAAATAAATGAAAAATCATTTGAAGACGATATTTGCACGTTGTGGGATATGACTGTTGAAAGAGACGTTGTATTATTCCTTTTGAAACATAATGTGTTAAATCTCTTCAACTTTGCGTTGCCGGTTATCGAAACGCCCCGTTATGTTGAAATTTTCGTGGGTATAATAGGGAATATGTGCTGTCAAAAAGAGGCAGCGAAGAAACTATTGGATATGGACAAGTTTTTATTGCTACTGCTAGAGTATATTAAGACAGATGACAGTTTAATACTCATTCAATTGCTTCGTTTAGTAAGCTCCAGTTTATCTTCAATTGATAGTGATGATATACCTGTTTGGATGAACATGTTCAATAAAGCTGGATATCCCAATTACTTATATTTTATTCTTAAAAACTCTTCTCATAAGCAGCTTCTAGTAACTGCATTAGAAAATTTTAATACCATATGTTCATATTGTAATGCACAACGATTTAGAAGAAAATATTATGAACATTTTGTTACTAAAGATGCACTGACATCACTTACAACTGCATTTATGGAAATCACAGTTAGTCAAAAAGATAACTGTTCAAAAGATGAAGTTGAAAGGATTATTGTTATAAGTTTGCAGATGACTTTAGACCTGCTTAGTTTTGAAAATCCTGACGAAATATTTGATGACTGTAAAGAGAATGTAGCAACAACAATAGGTACTGTTCTAAAATATTATCAAGCAAAACTTGTACAAGAGAAAGAAATTGATTCTGACTTGGTAGACTTAATTGATTGTATAAATACTATTGTGAGAATTGTTCCAATAAGTGAAAGTTGTGAACCAGATAAATATTTTTATAGCTGCTATAGTATATGGACAGCTTTACAATCAATAACTAATGTAAACCAAAATGGTGACAATAACTTTGAAGAAGTAGATAAAGAAGAATTTCAAGATTTTGTTAAGAATATGAAGTCACCATTAAGTATTTTGATGTGTAGCTATATGGAGAAATGTTCACATGAACATTTATTAATAGTATTAGATAAAATTGGCGATGAATTTGAAGATATATTAATGCTTGCAGATGCTGATGTCAAAATGGCAGTTTCAAAGAGAACATTTGACTTTAGAACAAGAATAAAAGAAAATGTTGATTCATAGACTTTTCTTTTACATTTAAATAAATTTAAATTTAACATTTTTGCCTTAAATTTAAAATTTTCAATTAATTTAATCCAAGCAAATAAGCAAATGCAAATGTTGCCAAAAATATAACGCAATAAAATGAAAAAGGATCAGTATATTTATATTCCATATTAAAAAATAATAAAGCAGTATTTTATACTTCTAAATACTAAATCATTAAATAAAACTACTATTACGGATTTTATCGCGTTTATTTTACTTTTATTTATTTTTAATTCCCGACGTTTCAGGCGCTCTCCAGCACCCATGATCACGGGGACTGTGGTCCCGATGTCATTGTTAAACCCGGAGTACCTTCAGCTTTTTTAATTATTGTTTATGGTCCGATCTATGCAAAAAACTGACTATGTCCTGAGGTCTAGCAGTGGTATGCTTGGGTTTAGTTTTAATTTTATTGATTATAGGATCCCAAGCAGGTGGTAGTACCCAGCCTCCTCTATTGAAATTAGGATGTTTTTTAATTTCAATAGCCTCACGTATCATCCTTGGTAGGAATCGTAGTTCTTTCGCGAGGATTTGTGGTCTATCAAATCTGATGTAATGGTTGGGGACATCTAGGATATGATTGCAAACTGCAGACTTCCCGGAACACATCAGCTATATGTTCTTTTACGCGGGTTCTAATTGATCTTTTTGTTTGTCCTATATAAGAGAGACCACATTCACAATCAAGCTTGTACGCTCCTGCATTTTGTAGAGGAATATGACACTTGACGGATGGTAGGAACTGACTAATCTTCGGTGAACATTCTACAAGCCGCTCTATTAGAGTTTCAATAAAATTGAAACTAAACCCAGGCATACCACTGCAAGACCTCAGGACATAGTTCAGTTTGCATAGATCGGACCATAAACAATAATTGAAAAACTGAAGGTACTCCGGGTTTAACAATGACATCGGGACGTCAGTCATCTCAGTCCCCCGTGACCATGGGTGCTGGAAAGCGCCCGAAACGTCGGGAATTAAAAATAAAAGTAATTAAAAGTAAAATAAACGCGATAAAATCCGTTAAAGTAGTTTTAATCAATGTGTAATGTTCGCGTAAATATAATAGCTCCTTTACACGATGGGCCAACGCTGGCCCAGCGAGATGGCCATGCGATGGTTGAAACGCATCTACACAATGGCGACATTCAGTTGTGATCGAAATGTTTTTCGAGATGGACGTGGAAGAATTAGCCGCAGCGGCAATATATTTATACAACATGTCATTTTTTATTGTCTTTTTTTAATGTGCACAAGAATAGAGTTATCAAAAAGAAATGGCGTAGAAAATGGTGGATGTTATCTTCTATCCATCGCATTAGAACTAAATATGTCCTGAGTCAATTTAGTTTTCTTTAAATAAAAATAATTAAATAATTATAACTAATTGTTAATAATTTAATAAATAATTAGTAATTAATAATTAAAAATAAATAAATAAAAAATAAAATATAGTAGGTATATGTTCTGATTTTAGTAGCTCTATGATTAAAATTTTATAACTATTAAGTCGGCCACATATTCGTCATTTTTAATTCGTTAATTAGAAACATAACAGGAACGTCCACACGCAACTGTCGAGTGTGCACAACTGTGGAATGGGCCACGTGTAGATGCGTACCACTATCGCTGGCCCGCTACCTTTGATGTGCGGCGGAAAAACCGACACCGTCACCAACCCCAAGACCATCGCATGCGCCATAAGCCATCCGACACAACTACGTCCTCCACATGTTGGCCCATCATAGTGGGCCATCGCGTTGGCTCAATGTGTAGAGGGGCTATAAGAAATCATTACTAAATTATTATATTATCCATTACTATAAAAAAGTCAAGATGTATCTGATAAAAAGGTTCATTTTGGGATTAAACATCCCAGAAGTTCTCTTAGTTAGAATTTGTAAAAAACAGCAATTTTATTCTAAATATTAACGTTTATTTTCTAAATTAATTAAAACATTGGAATTCGGGACCAAAATCATTTGAACTAATTAAAATAGATTATTATTAATATTTTACACATTAAAAACTATATAAATTTATTAAAACGTTAGAAATTGGGACCAAAATAATTTGAATATCATATTAAAATAAATTAACAACATTTTAACATTTAGAAGCTTCGATCAGATATTATTGATCGAAGTTTAGAAGTATTAGTTGTTCTTAAATAATAAGTATGTTAATTTCAAACTTTGTTTCAATTATGATAGCTAAATAAATAATGCTAAATAAATAAATAATGTAACACATTAAGTTTTTTGATAGCTTATTGCTATTTTTTTCTTTTGGCTCCTTAAATATTTTAATTTAAAAACGACTGTGTGGATACATTATTAACATCAACTTATTTGAGGTGTAGTAGTTAAAATGTGCAAAAAATTTTAAGAGAAAACCACTTAGCCATTGTTTCGTATATTGATTTATTTCTCTGGAAATAGATAAACTTAACTAACTTTTCAATTAAATGACTTTATGTAACAAAGAAATTAGTTTTAGTCCCAACTAGCGACATCTAGTGAGTGGAATATTATTAGCACATGTTAGCAAGATGCTTCGTGAGCTCGTGAGTAATCGAGCTTGACACTTGTAAGAACTGTAACTTCACGTTTCATTAACAATTTTTAATATATAGTTGGTAAATTAGGACAAAAAATTTACATTCTTACATGTAGTATCCCGTTGGAGAACCAAGATTACTGGCATAACCTTTCAGGTTCGTAAGCTGAATGTGTGGTCTGCTTGCGTGACCCGATACCAATTACCAACTGCCTAGGACTTACACATTGCCTATGCCTATAAGGTAACGGAACCCGTAATGGACAGTGCACCCGTGATGGACATTTCGTTCTTTATCTATCAAAAATAGCCAAACTATGAATATTTCCTATAACTGGCAATATTATCCACGAGTGATAGACCCAACCAAAGCTATGTTTTTCATTTCACAGTACGTGAGACATTTTGTTCGTTCACAGGAAGAGTTCAAAAACGTGGTCGTGACGTTTAGTTGAATAAATCCTAAATTATTGTAAGCATCGTGATGCTGGTGAGTTCAACAATTACGTTTTTTCTGAAATAGTTATGCATATTTTATTAAATGTCCGTTTATTTCGTGTTTTAGGAGTAGATCAAGAATTGTAATATAACCTTGCGTATTTTAAAACGGCAAGAATAATAAATAATTAAAGGCTATGTTTAACACTGGATACTCTAACATGTTACTACCCAGTCATGTACATTTTGTTCATTACTGGATTTTTGAAGAAATTCACCAATTTTGTATTGTGTGAACTCTGACAATAATATATTACGTTTTATTCTTGAAATATTTAAGAAATTATAGCGTAATCCAGTAATGTACAACCATGTCCATTACTGCCTGTCCATAACTGGGACTAAGAGTAAAAATGCTAGAACAGTACATGCAAAGAGAGAGTACATAAGTAAAGACCATAAAAAGACTAAGCACATAAAATAATACACAAGGACTAAATGACATTGGGCAGATTATAAAAGTGAACACTGAAAAACAGAATGCAAGTGCAAAACACAAGCACCAAATTTTTATGTACAAAGAAAGAACATAGAAGAACAGATCACAACAGAACAGAATACGCAAACACCGAATGCACAAGGACAGGAAAAAAAATTGATCAACAAACTGGACAAGGAAACAATGAGCAATCTTTTTTAAAAAATATGTGCTACACCACATAAATCTGTTATGACGAATTCACCAGTGTCGTATCATTCAACCTCTACAACATTACTAAAAAACTGGGTAGTCCCATCACCTTTTAAACGTGTCTTATTTTGGCCCAAACCTGAAACTAAGAAGCTACCAACCAAGTAACGTATACCGTCAGCTATAAATAGTGAAACATGGAGATATTACATGAGAAAAAAACCTTTGAGTAAAATAGATTCTAACAAGAAAACTAAGTGTATGAAGAAAACTATAGGTGTTACCAATGACTCCTACGTTAGTGTAAAATATGAGGGAGAATATTTTCCGGGTAGAATAGAAAAAACAGAACGAAATTTATACGAAATAAGTATAACGGTATTATGTGTAACACACTCTTTCAGATGGCCAGATCAGCCAGATAAAATATAGTACAAGGCAGATGATGAATGCATAGAGAAATTTAATGACCCTTTGCTCTTAAATAAGCTATATTTCTTCTCTATATTTCTTATCTATATTGCTTCTATAAAATTAAAGAAATGGAAAAATATTTACCGGGTATTTTTCCTTTTAGAGTTTATTATTTTACTTGCTTTTATATTTCTAAATACAAAAACTAACAGTTTTGTGCTCAATAAAAAGTATGGAAGACTGATTAATATAAATTACTTGTTTTATTTTCTTCCTTGCATAAATGTTTAGTGTCCATCACTAGATGTTCATGACTGGAGGTTGTTCCAACATTGGATGTCCAAAATTGGAACTAACCCTGTCCATCACTGGTGTTTTTAAATGGTTTTGTTTTTTTAGGGTATTTCTAAAAGTTGTAAGAATAGTGTAGTTTTCAATAAATGAACTTATTACCAATAAGTTTTTTAATCGCTTGCAACCTCAATTGCGTTCACATGAACGTTTATCTGCAAAAGATAGTAGAAAACGTAAAAAATTGGTCTTAAACTGTCCATTATGGGTTCCGTTACCTTACTTACTTTTGATCATGAATAAACCTAAGTTTAATCAACTGCTAGGTTGCAACCGGCTACAACTAGTTGGAAAACCAAGTTTCATCATCATCATCATCATCACAGCCCTTCACAAGTCCACTGCTGAACATAGGCCTCCCCCAAGTAATGCCACAAAGCACGGTCCTGAGCCACCTGCATCCATCGACTTCCTGCATATCTTACCAGGTCGTCACTCCATCTAGTGGGGGGTCACCCTACACTACGCCTACCGGTACGAGGCTGCCACTCGAGAACCTTTCTTCCCCATCGGTTA